CTGGGCCCGTTCTCCCTATCCCGACAGTTTCCTGGTCAGTCTTCGCCAGACTTGGAACAAGCTTTCTCTATCATCTTGCTACTTGGAGTCTTCTTCTATCGTCACACAGAAAATGACCACAAGTTCAGCAGTTTCAAACCCCAACTCACTGGCTCTCACTTCTGTGGATCAGAAGTCAGGCCACGTGGGCTCAGGTCTTACAAAGGTGATATCCAGGTGCGGCCTGAGTCCCCTGGAACTCCAGGGTCATGCACACATGGTTTCAGAGTAAGTCAGTGGCTGTGCTGCAGGCGGACATCTTGCTGGCTGTTAGCTGGGGCCACTCCACCCCCCCATCTCCAAAGCAGCACGGAGGAAGTTTAGCCACTTTGGTCCCTTTCCCCTTTTGATCCTCTTTTCTAGGAAGGCCAGTTCCTCGAGGGGCCTACCTGGCAGACCTGGTCCATATGGGTGACTTCCTCTTCTCGAAGTTAGTTGTATCATATAACATAACCCTATTGTGAGAGCGACGGTGGCTGCCTGTCACTGTCACTAGTCCTGGGGATTTTACAAAGCCTGCAGTGTGGGCAGGAACTGGAAGACGTCTGAGAATTCTTCCCATCACACCACAGATAAAAAGGCTCCTGGCCTCAATTCCAGATATGAGAAGGGAAGCAATTTTTGTGACACACACCCCAGAAACTCAATGAATCTGAATGCTGACTTGGGGAAAGACCCACTGCTTCTCCAACCTCAGGGTGCCTCACCCCTTTCCCTTTTCGTTCTGTCCTCTCATGAGTTGATCTCTTCCGTTCCGAAAATCTCAGCCACCCAACTACCTAAACCGCCCCCAAATTCCCAACTCCAGACCCAACCTGTCTCCATGTTCCCAGCTCATGAATCACACACAGCTGTCTGGTAGCCATGGTGGCATGTGTATCCCATTTATAGAGCCCAAACCCAAATCTAAGCTCCAAGAGAAACCAACTGTTTGCCTTACCAGATATATTCTTTTCCCTTCTTCCCCAAACCTGGGAGCCACCCCAGGCCCCTCCACAGCACCTTTTCTGTAGCTCATCACTCAGATCCATCACCCTCCATCCCTATCACTTCTGCTCTAGCTTGGCTAATGGTGTCCTGCCTCTAGTCTTTCCCACTCTCACCCGATCCCCACAGTGAGCTCCTGAAAACTCCAGTCTCCCTGCATCTCACTCTGAAAGTCTTCAGTGGTTTTCACTGTGTCCTGGCCAAGCCAGTTCAGCCCAAGGCAGTAAGTCTCTTAGGAGGCAGCAGGGCAGGTCTTGGGATTGTTTACAGGGAGGTGACAGAGCAGAGAGCAAAGGGTGGACCCAGGCTTCAGCCCCAGCTTCTGGGTAGACAGTCTCAGCTGAAGAAAGGCGGTTATAAAAGTTTATGGGTTAAAAATAATGAATTTGGCCTTGGGCCTGATAAATTTAATATCTGCAAATCACTTAGGTTAAGATGTAGAATAAGCAGGACAGGTCCAGTGTCCAAATGTGTATGTCATCTGTGCAAAGGCTGGGTGGGGGCCTAAAGAGTGGGGGTCCTGCAAAGAGTGGGGGGATCCTGCAAAGAGTGGGGGGTCC